ACAACCACCACCACCACCACAAGTTTTCGTCGTCATGACCCCCATGACCCGAGATTGATGGAGAGCAGCAAAACTACTCGGGATTCGACTGGCATGAGGCTTCCATTGGCACCATTGACTCTTCTGCAGCCGCAATGAGCGTCGACACCGGCCGAGGGCTGCCGGCCGCGGACAAGTCGTACAGCTCCGACTGGCTTCTCATCATCGTCTTCATTAGCATCGCCCTCTACAACGTCGTCGAGCTCAACTTCCTGATAGCCACCACCTTCAAGCGGTTCCGGGGGCTCTACTTTTGGAGCTTCACCTGCTCGACCTGGGGCATCGCCTTCAACGCCGTCGGCTACCTCCTGCGCCACGTGCACCCCGACCAGCATGGCTACCTGCACGCGACCCTCATCCTCATCGGCTGGTGTGCCATGATCAACGGCCAGTCGCTGGTGCTCTACTCGCGGCTGCACATTGTCATGCACCACCCGAGGCGTCTGCGCTTCGTCCTGGCCATGATCATTGTCGACGCCGTCTGCCTGAGCGTCCCGGTCATTGTCCTGGTGTACGGGACAAACTCCAGCCACCCGGGCCCGTTTGGGCAGCCGTACTCCGTCTTTGAAAAGCTCCAGTTGACCGTCTTCTTTGTCCAGGAGGTTGTCATTTCGGGCCTGTACATTGTCGAAACGACGCGGCTCCTCAAGATGCAGCGCGGAATCGCCTCGTCGTCGATGCGTCGCGTCATGGGCCACTTGATACTCGTCAACGTCTTTGTTGTTCTCCTCGACATCAGCATCCTCTGCCTCGAGTTCACGGAGCACTACAACCTGCAGACGGCCTGCAAGGCGCTGGTGTACAGCGTCAAGCTCAAGTGCGAGTTCAGCGTGCTCAACCGCCTGGTCGAGTTCTCCCAGCACCTGCGCGCCGGCCACGACGTGTCCTCGGTCAACTATGATGCGTCGGCCGACGTTGCCCTGGAGCGCTATCTGAGGAATGCGTCGCGGGCGCCGGCCGGCACCGAGTACAGCATGCAAGTCACGGCCGAGCGGCCCTGCGAGAACGGCCCCCCGGAGATTGTCAAGACGACGGCCGTGACGGTGAGTCGCAGCGGGAGGTCGGCGCCGCCGACCCGGCCGTCGACGGCAGCAAACAGCTCGGTGGGAGGTTGCGCAGCCGACGAGATGCACGACGCCGACGGCACGTCGTCGCTGTCGTCGGAAGCACGGCTGGCGCGGGCATGAAGCCATGTATTGGTCTCTGTCTATAGATGCAATATACGAAAACCATCACCACGACTTATTTCCGATACTATCTGCGGATGAAATAAACGATCCAGGATACGGCGCTTGCATTGTTGTTACTGGGACAAGAGAAAAAAAAAAGAGAGAAGCAAAAAGATGCCAAAAAAAGGAGCGAATCTCTCTCTGTTGTGCCAATGTAGACATGGATGCTGCTAGTTGCACCACGAGGTTGGTTCCAAGACCTGCAGCCACTCCGGCCTGACTCATTAGCCAGCCATTGGTCCGCTACTGTCTGACCGAGCATTCACTCTCCTTCTATCCCGGCCAACGAAGTCGCGTTTGCCGGGTCATCTTGATGGTTTCTGCTCTGTAGGTTTTCCGTGGCCAGTCACCCGTCATCCCCCCCCTGCCATGGTCAAAAGGGCACTCGACACGGAGCAGCCCTACGAGACGGGTTTGGCGCCGATTCGCTACCGTGGGAACTGCTGGAGCAAACGTACGAGGCATCGAAAAGGGTAATGTCGGCGTGGACACGTGCAGTCAAACTCCTCCCACTAAGCCCTTGGAAGACGATTGACATGTTCATGTTTGACTGGGGGTGGGCCGGCGAACAAATCTGCACATCAGCGGGGTTGGGAAGGAAGCATTGAAACCAGATCCAACGTTGACCACAGAGACGGAAGCAAAGCCGGGGGGAGAGGGCGGGCGCGCTAATGCTGCGTGTCGAATGTCAATTCATTGATAAAAAAGACGCCGCCGGCCGTGATGGCCCAAATCCGGCGTCATGCCAGTGTTTGCGGACCACGAGGCCACGGCATTGATTCCCTTTTCGTTTGGACTCATCACCCAGTCACTCTCGGGGAGCTACAGCATGTCCATCTTGAACATCAGCCTCTTGGCTGCGGCCACCGATGCCGGCTACTTTGCCTCCCTGCTGCCGGTCGACTCGTCCACGCCAGCCATCTCACTGCGCGCCTATCACGCCGACTTTTACAGCGTCATTGGACACGATGCCAAGGCTCGAAAAGTGTGGGATCTGCCCTGGGAAGCCTTCCACGAGGCCGGCGTCTACAACCGCCGAGACAACTCGCTGTACATTGCCTCCAACTACAAGAGCCTCGAGGACAGCATCAACATCACCGTCGTCAGCCTCGACTCGGACGACTACCCGTTCTACAGCACCAAATTCCCCAATCTGGCCATGGCCAACGGCGGCACCACCTACCACCCTCCCGGCTCGCGCCACGACGAGATGACGACGACGACGACGCCCCCGATGCACGTCTACTGCGACGAGGGCGACTTTGAGCACTACTCGCAGCTGCTGGCCGTCGACCCCAACACAAACGAGTCCAGGCCGCTGCTGACCAGCTTCCTCGGGCGCAACTTTTCGTCCCTCAACGACGTGCGGCAGCACCCGCGGACGGGCGACCTGTGGTTCACCGACGCCGACTACGGCTACTTCCAGCACTTTCGCCCCGAGCCCAGCCAGCCCAAGCAGGTGTACCGCTTCGAGCCCGGCACGGGCGTCGTGCAGGTCGTGGCGGACGGCTTCGTGCAGCCCAACGGCCTCGAGTTCTCGCCGGACCTGCGGACGCTGTACATCTCCGACACGGGCAGCCAGCAGTTCAAGCGCGAGCCCACGCAGCCGTCCACCATCTACGCCTACGACCTTGTCGACGGGAGACGCCTTGCCAACCGGCGAACCTTTGCGTACGCAGACACGGGCTTCCCGGACGGCGTGCACTGCGACACGCGCGGCAACGTGTGGGCGGCGTGCGGCGACGGGCTGCACATTTGGAACCCGCGCGGCGTCCTGCTGGGCAAGATTTTTGTCGGCGAGATGAGCAACAATTTTGCCTTTGCCCCGGGCAAGGTGTTTGTCTTTTCCAACTCGCGGCTGTGGGTTGTGGAGGATATAAAGGCCCAGGGGAGGGAGGTGTGCCGGGACTTTGGAGTGGGATGCCATTAGACGGGCACGCATGGTATTCTTGACCTTTTCTTTTCTTTTTTCCCCCCAGACTCTTTTGTACGTCGTTTACAGTGAGCTAGACTGCGGCTTGACAAGATGGCGCGGATTATACAGCCACTGATGTGTGACGGCAGTTGGGTGCATCCCCGGGGCTTTCAGACTTGCAACAAAGATGGGCGGCAGCATCGGGTTTTGGCCTTGGCCGGACATGTAGTATATACTGGTCTGTACACTGTAGAATACAGCCGTTGTCAGGGCATTTGGACGCTTTGTGCAATCGCCGCGTGCTAGACTAGTGATATCGTGGGGAGGGAGGCAGCCGAGGCAGACCAAGTCAGGCCCGTAGGAAGCGCCGGATGTGTCACATCATGTATTGACTCTGCGTATAACCCACGGCTTGCTCATCGCTATCAAAAGCCGCAACGGGCTGGTTTCGTCCTGAAACGAAACTCGGCTGAAGGGCGGTGAGCTTCAAGAGCTGCGCCAAAATGAGCCGAAATGGGACATGTGCGGTCATGGCAATGGACAGCAAGCAACAGCTGCAAAGTAAACCATGACAGATTGACGTGCTCTTTGACATGGAATATTTTGGCACGATTGGCTGTGGGGCGCGAAAGACGGAGTGAGGGCTCCAGATGTACTCGGAAAAAGGGACCACCGACATGTGAAGCGTAAAACGATTTGATGCAAGTCTGTACATGTAGGTTGAGCCGTGTCCGTTCCTGGCGCAAGTGTCGCGCATAATGGAGCAGAATGAGCCGAGATGGGTGCGGGTTCGCAATGTACATGTATGGGGTTGTGGGTTGCGTGTGTTCTTTTTTGCGTCCTTAGTCTTCACTCCATGATGATCAATTGATTCTTTTCCCCCGCACCAAGCGCATACTGCACAGACTACTCCGTAAATCAGCTAGAGCTGACTAGACTAGACGGACCCGACTAGAACGCAAAGTCACAATCGTCGTCGAGCAAATGAAAGCCCGGAGAATTGCGCACCCCGAGTCTCCCCCGCACGTTTGGTCCCCTCCCCGCCTCCGTCGAAATTCTCCATCCATGACCGCTTCCCCAACACTCGGATCCAATGACGCGCATCTGAGGGCTCTCCCGCGTCCAATCGCAAGCTTTCCCGTATCTTTGGCCTTGCCCTGGCGTGCCATATTTTGGGAGTCGTCTTGTTCGGCGCACAAGGCTTCTCGCACAAACGCACTGGCGCCGCCCACACCCGTGTTGTCTCGTCAATCACGTTTTCTTCAGCCTCGGTAGCCTCCTTGCCGTCTTTTTTCATATGCACATGCCTGGCCGTGGTGCCATTTGGTATAAATCGCCCGGCGTGCCTGGATCAGCCGTCAAAGTTTCCAAACCCGTGTTTATGAACTTGTGGACCGCGGGTGCAATAGTTTACATTCTCTTGGCAGACTCCGAAAGACGCGGGCAATTTTTTCTTTTCTTTCAATTCTCATTTGACTAGGTAAGGTCTATTGCTCGCTGTCTTTTGTTTTGGAAAAAAGGAAACCAAAAAAAAAAAAAGCGAAATGCCCTCCCGACATGACTCAAATCTCTCCTCACCTTCTACACCTTTTGGACAAGCCTCGTCCCTCCTAGCAAAACATTGTCTCTTGTTCAACTCTCGCTCCTTGAAGGAGAATTAGCGTCCCTCTTGTGTGTGGTGGCACACTATGCACCCCAGCGCCTCTTTTTACGCCACGGTATGCTAACATCGCGGCCGTGTTAGATTTTGTCCAACTTGAGCTACGCTCCATATACATATTTTTTCATCGCGTTTCCTCATTCTACATCACACACAAATGGCGTCCCCCATTCCCGACGGCCATGTTGGCAACCTGACTGCCGAGCAGGAGGCCAAGCTCCGCGAGCTCTGGCAGACCGTCTTCAAGCTCTACGACATACTCCAGGAACACAGCCAGAAAAAGGTGGCGACCCCGGCTCCGTCGATTCAGTCGCCCAAGAAGTCTCGCTTTGGCCTGTTTGGGGGCTGGAAGGCCGCCGAGGCCCCGGCCGCGCCTGCGATCCCCGAGGAGGCGCTCAAGCTCATCGCCTGCGACGAGGAGGACAAGTTTGGCCTGGTCAAGCAGTTCCAGCAGGTCGTCGCCACGCAGTCGCCCGAGTCTCTGCGCGCCATGGTCCTCGGGTCCGTCAAGCTCGAGCACCCGGACGCCCTGGTGCTGCGGTTCCTGCGCGCCCGCAAGTGGGACGTCAACCGGGCCTTGGTCATGATGTTCTCCGCCATGAACTGGAGGCACAACGAGGCCAAGGTCGACTCGGACATTATGGCCAACGGCGAGGAGGTGCTCGCCAACGACGAGGAGACGGGCGAGGTCAAGAGCAAGGCCCTGGCCCGCGACTTCATGAAGCAGATCCGCACCGGCAAGAGCTTCATCCACGGCACCGACAGGCAGAACCGGCCCATCAGCTACGTCCGCGCGCGCCTGCACAGGGCCTCGGACCAGTCGGTCGAGAGCCTGGAGCGGTACACGACCTATCTCATCGAGACGGCCCGCCTGGCCCTGACCCCCCCGGTCGAGACGGCCACTCTCATCTTTGACCTGTCCAGCTTCACCCTGGCCAACATGGACTATGTCCCCGTCAAGTTCATCATCAAGTGTTTCGAGGCCAACTATCCCGAGTCCCTCGGCGCGATTCTCATTCACAATGCCCCGTGGGTTTTCAAGGGTACGTGGTCAGAAGAAAGAGATTCAACCCGCCATTGCCCCCCCCATAATGTAACCCCCGTGGTGTGTCACTCGTAAACAAGATTCAGCTAACAATGCCGGCGCAAAAAGGCATCTGGAAAGTCATCTCTGCCTGGCTCGACCCCGTCGTCGCCGCCAAGGTCCACTTCACTTACGGCCGCAAGGACCTGGAAGAGTTCATCCACCCGTCGCAGATCATCAAGGAGCTGGGCGGCGACGAGGACTGGGAATACGTCTACGAGGAGCCCGTGCCGGGCGAGAACGACGCCATGAAGGACACGGCCGCGCGGGACGCGCTGCAAAGGGCCAGGGAGGACCTCGCCCACCAGTTCGAGGCGGCGACCAAGCAGTGGATCGAGAACCCGACCGGCGCCCAGGCCGCCGAGCTCAGGGCCAAGCGGGAGGGCATCGCCGCGCAGCTGCGCGACAACTTCTGGAAGCTCGACAAGCACGTGCGCTGCCGGTCCCTGTACGACCGCCAGGGCAACATCCGCCCGGGCCAAAAGACGGTCTGGTACCCCGAGGCCCCCGAGAAGGCCATTGACAGCGCCGTCCCCGGCGGCACCACCATCGAGCAGATTGAAAACGCCCCCCTCAAGGCCGCTGCGCAGGTTACGGCCTAGACGGGGGTCCGGATGTTGTGCAACGAACAATTTTGACTCATGGTAGAGGACGGCATTCATGACTAGAGGAGGAAGAAGAGGTTTCTCTTGGAATACGTACAACGACTGAATGTTCACGTACAACGACTTTTTTCAACGGTCAAGATTTATTCGACGTTTTTTTTTTTTTGGTATGTGTGTGCGTGTCAAGGCATTTGGTTAGCTCAGAGCAACAGTTATATATTACATCATATATTATACCCCTTTTCACGTATAAATGCATCGCTTCCCTTGTGTCGCTCCGGAGAAGAGATTCAGCTCGTAGTTTAGACACGACCGCCGCGACATGCATGTCTTGGCAATTCGTGCCGAGACAAAACTGGAACCTGCCGGCTGACATGTTGGTGATGTCTTGTCGCTATAATTTTGGGTCGGGAAACGGCACCACCTCGTCATTTTCATTTATATACGTCACATCAGGAAGAAAAAGACAGACTAGCTCAAGCTTTTATCAACCATCTCATGAGCTTGGCTACAACTTCTGCGGCGCCACCATGGATGCCTGTTTCTCCCGTTTCGGCCACGACGCCGATATCCTTTCGCCGGGCAATCTTTGAGGCAGGAAATGAATCATCCATCGGCAACAGCTCCACCAGCCCCGTATCTTGGGCTTAGTACAGGCCCCTACGACGGTCTCAGCATCTTCCGCAGTGGATTGTGTCGCCGACGCGGCTGTCGGGTTCGTCGTGCCCCAGCGCGTCCCGCATCGCAACGTGGCCATGACCGAAGCCATCATGTCGTCGTGCGTGCATGGCGCTGCTGGTCGCACATGGACTTTCTGTGCATGCCATTTCGCGTGGCCGTGTCGGAAATCGCATCAAGGACTCGACACGGGTGACCTGGACAATCCCCTGGTGTGTCGCTCACAACGGACCCGACGCCATCATGTCGCGCCATGTCAACTTTGCATCCAGCACGCCCGGCGTGAGTGCTCCTGGCCGTGTTGATGGCTGTCCCCGTCTACCGAACGACACGACGAGGCATTCCCGCTCGAGGACCGGTGGTATGAAACCGCTCGACACTGGGCGGCCGCTGTTCGCAGGGATGGGCGTGCCAGCGTCGGGGGTCAAGCCGCAGCAGCGCGTAGACTAAGAGAGTGGGCTGTGCATTCGCCGGTGGTGTGATGTTGCGACTACATTTGCCTGGCGCAATGGGCCTGCTGGACGAGGTTGCTGCAGATGCCGGGCGTGTTGTAACGGATCAACGCACAACGGCTGGTGCCCTTTTCCTGCAGGTTTTGTCCGCCAAAAAGCTGGCACAGTGCCGTGTTGACAAGTCGGCACGGCCCATTGTCTCGTTTCCTCTTTCGCTCAACTCTGACGCTTGGCAGGGGGAGCCGAGCGCATGCAGAGAATTGGTGAGACATCCATCTCAATTAGGCGTAGCTGGTCTCGGGTGCTGCTCACGTGGAATGGCAAACTTGGCCCTCGTCTTGTCCGCCTTCGTATAACCACGACGACGACATCTCTGCGCATCAAGCCGGTTCCATCCAAACCCGCCCTCGTTTAATTATGCCTCATGCTCTCTGCCCGCCGCGTCCAGGGGAATCCCTTCGTCAACGGACCAATCCTCAGCAGCCTTGTTCCCATGACTAATTCTCAAAATAAGCTACTATCGGAGTGCGGATCCGTTGCTACAGATGATGTGGAACTACATGGGACCACGAGCAGACTCGTCGAGATTGTCTCCAGCTGGGGTTTTCTCCATGGGGGACAAAGACGGAACAAGAGTCACGTTGCGTCCGCAAACAAAGGGTTGGAGAGACGAGCGGAAGGAATAAACAAAAGAAAACATCAACAACACCAATGTGTCTCGAGTTTGCAAACAACTCGCCTACACTAGCCCGCATTGTCCTTTTCTTTTTTCCCCTTTCTCTTCCTCTTTTTGCACAGAAACAGCCCAAAATGTGGCCCCGAATACGCGCCACACCCCCCTGCCCATCCGCTATCTTTGCCAACATGGAGTCTCCATGACTCGGCTCTCCACGGCCCTCTCAGAAAATTCTTCACGCCCTTTAGATAACGGGGGACCCTCGGGCAAATGGCAAACGGACATTTGCTTCGTCGTCGCGCCCGGCTCTTTAAAGATGTGTCGGGGTCTCTCCCAACCCAGCCCGGTTCCCAAAGTCGCCTTGCCCTGCTCTTTGCCGCTGGGTTGAGCATCGCCATCTCGAAGCCTCTTTTTTTGTCCCGACAGCCTTGCCACGATGGCTGAACAAATCACCAGCACCCCTGCGCCCGCCGCCGTCAAGGCCAGCACCGACTCCGGGAGGAAGCCGTCTGCCGTGACGCCACCGGCGTCGTCCCCAAGCCAGGCGCTGGGCCTGGGCGACGCCGACATCTTTGGCGAGACGAGCGAGGAAATGGACCAGGACCGGCTGAAGCAAATCGCGGCCGCGGGCAACGCCCATTTCCACCGGCTGGGGTGGAAGCGGCTCGCCGTCGTCACCATTGTCGAGGCCGTGGCCCTGGGCGCCCTCAGCCTGCCGGCCGCGTACCACACGCTGGGCATGTTTGCCGGCGTCTTCCTGACCATCACGCTCGGCTTCCTCGCCATCTTCACGAGCTGGCTCGTCGGCCAGGTCAAGCTCAGGTACCCCGAGACGGCCAGCTACGCCGACGCCGGCAGGCTGCTGCTGGGCCGGCTCGGCTACGAGGTCTTTGGCGCGGCCCTGGTGCTCGAGCTGGTCATGGTGGTTGGGTCGCACGCCCTCACGGGCAGCATCGCCCTCGGCGATCTCGACGACGGCCGCACCTGCTCCATTGCCTTCTCGGCCGTGTCGGCCGTCATCCTGCTCATCCTGGCCATCCCGCCCTCCTTCACCGAGGTGGCCATCCTGGGCTACATTGACTTTGGGTCCATTGTCGCCGCCGTCGGCATCACCATCATCGCCACGGGCATCCAGGCCCGCGACGGCCCCGGCGGCCTCGGCGGCGTCGCCTGGTCGGCCTGGCCCAAGGAGGGCGTGACCTTTTCGCAGGCCTTTGTGGCCGTGAGCAACGTCATCTTTGCCTTTAGCTTCGCCATCGGCCAGTTCTCCTTCATGGACGAGATGCACACGCCCACCGACTACATGAAGTCCGTCTGGGCCTCGGGCCTGATCCAGATTGCCATCTACACCCTCACCGGCGCCCTGTGCTACGCCTTCATCGGCCCCTCTGTCCAGTCGCCCGCCCTCCTGTCGGCCGGGCCGCTCATCTCCAAGATTGCCTTTGGCGTCGCCCTGCCCGTCATCTTCATCTCGGGCTCCATCAACTCCACCGTCGCCCTTCGCTACATCCACGGCCGCATGTTCAAGAACTCGGTCCTGCGCTACATCAAGACCCCGGGCGGGTGGGCGTCGTGGATCGGCCTCGTCGTCGTCTTCACCCTCGCCGCCTGGGTCATTGCCGAGGCCATTCCCATCTTTTCCGACCTGCTCTCCCTGGCGTCGGCGCTTTTTGTCTCGGGCTTCTCCTTCTGGATCCCCGCCATCATGTGGTTCAAGCTGCTCTGCAGGGGAAAGTGGTACTCCGGGCGGAACCTGCTCATCAGCCTCGGCAGCATCGTGGCATTCATCGTTGGCGCCGTGACGCTTGTCGCCGGCACCTATTCCACCATTGTTGATATTGTAAGTCTGGGAAACCCGCTCGTCTTTTATTGCGCCCTTGTTCGGTGAGCTAACTTCCCCCCCCCCCTCCTGCAGATCAAAGAGACGAATGACGGCTCGGCTCACAGCCCATTTGCCTGCCGATCAAGTTGAAGAAACGGGGGGGTTGTTCATACAAATCACATGGAGCGCGTACATTTATATAGATATACATATATGCAAAAGAATATTTATTGCATGGTGGCAAATCAGACAACTGGCATTATCGAGTTTTTCTTCTTCCCTTGTTACGAATTACACTGCATCTCCTCTCCGTAGGCATCACACCTCCTCCAGAACCTTGAGCAGCTTGGCAAAGTCTTTGGGCACGCCGAGGCCGGTGATTGCGTCCCACCCTTGCTTGGCCGGCCATCCACCGGGGCTGTCGCCGTCCCAGGTGCACGAGTAGCTCTGGCCAGCGGTGATGTCCTGCAGCAGAGGCGCCACCTTGTCAGAGTACAGGATCTCGTTCAGCCACCCCAGAGACGGCTTCCCCTTTCGCAGGCGGGCGTCGTTGACAAGGGAAATCATGGCTGCAAAGACGGGCGCACTCGCGCTGGTGCCCTCGAGGAGACTGCGGCGGCCGCCAACAATGACCAAAAAGTTGGTCCCCACGGCCGAGATGTCCGGGACGGCCCTCATGCTGGCGTTGTAGTACCCGTCCAGGTGGCCGTCGATGGCCTCGACATAGCCGTCCACGGCGGCCGCCCGCCCCCCGGGCCGGT